CCCCCCCTCCCACCTTTTAAAATATCTATAAATTTCTTTAGCAAATGTGATTTTTGTGGAACAACAGAATTTACACCATTAAAAACAAAATTTAGAAAAGTTAAATTGAATAGTCAGTTTATTTCGTTGAAAAACATCAAATAAGCAAAAGGAATTGAGTCTTTGTCATAAATGTGTAAAACTTTGATATTTCAAGTTAAGATAAGGTGATTTAACAGAAATATACAAGGTCTACAATATTGTGTTGAAAAGATAAAGGGATTAGAAAATCTGAGTTTGTTTTCAAATGGTCTAAAAACATTTCCATTTTTAGGAAGCTTTAGTCCGGTGCCAGAGAAGTGTTGGAAATCTTGATATCAACCGATATGAAAACTGGATCAAAGAATACGGATCCCATTAGAACAATCCATGGATCTTGTTTTTCAATCTCAAACTGGATCATGGTTCTATTGATATATGGGATTGTATGAACACTCCCATCGTAGAAATAATGGAACTGATTCAGAGAATTTGGATTTGATTAGATCAATGATTGGACCTGAGTATGTAAAACAAAAATCAGGAAATGTTAAGGAATCAAAACCAAACTCAAAGTTCCTCTGTATGAAACAAAACAAAACGCATAAGTCTCTGTATGAAACTAAGCCAAACTTAAAAATCTCTGTATAAAACCAAATCAAACTCAAGTATCTCTGCATCAAACTAAGCCAAACTCAAGGATCTCTGTATGAAACCAAACATAACTCAAGGATCTCTGTATGAAACTAAACCAAGCTCAAGGATTTCTGCATGAAACCAAACCAAACTCAAGGATCTCTGTATGAAACCAAACCAAACTCAAGGATCTCTGTATGAAACCAAACCAAACTCAAGGATCTCTGCATGAAACCAAACCAAACTCAAGGATCTCTGTATGAAACCAAACCAAACTCAAGGATCTCTGTATGAAACCAAACCAAACTCAAGGATCTCTGTATGAAACCAAACCAAACTCAAGGATCTCTGAATGAAACTAAGCCAAACTCTAGGATCTCTGCATGATAACAAACCAAACTCAAGGATCTCTGTATGAAACCAAACCTAACTCAAGGATCTCAGTATGAAACTAAACCAAACTCAAGGATCTCTGTATGAAACCAAACCAAACTCAAGGATCTCTGTCTGAAACTAAACCAAACTCAAGGATCTCTGTATGAAACTAAACCAAACTAAAGGATCTCTGTATGACACCAAACCTAACTCAAGGATCTCAGTATGAAACTAAACCAAACTCAACGATCTCTGTATGAAACTAAGCCAAACTCAAGGATCTCTGTATAAAACTAAACCAAACTCAAGGATCTCTGCATGATAACAAACCAAACTCAAGGATCTCTGTATGAAAATAAACCAAACTCAAGGATCTCTGTATAAAACTAAACCAAACTTTAGGATCTCTGTATAAAACTAAACCAAACTCAAGGATCTCTGTATGAAACTAAACCAAACTCAAGGATCTCTGCATGAAACCAAACCAAACTCAAGGATCTCTGTCTGAAACTAAACCAAACTCAAGGATCTCTGTATGAAACTAAATCAAACTCAAGGATTTCTGTATGAAACTAAACCAAACTCAAGGATCTCTGTATGAAACTAAATCAAACTCAAGGATTTCTGTATGAAACTAAACAAAACTCAAGAACCTTATTTGAAAACAAAACAAAGTCAGGAATCTATGTTTGAAATTAAACCAAATTAAAATCAAGGCCCTTTGAAAGAATTTAAATAGAATAAAATATAAAAAGGTTATATGTTATAGAAATGATTTTCTAACTGGTGTACTAATTGTTTTTTTTTATGACACTAAGAATGTAAGGATAGTGATATTATAATATATATTTCTGATCATTTAATAAAATGAAAACAATAAATCGAAAATTAGCACATTTTTTGTCAACCTTGTTAGGGAAAAACTTCTGGTGGATTAAATTCAGTAAGCCTTCACTATCGAACCCTTTTATACTCATTAAATTTGGACTGTGAAGTAATTTCCTATTTCCTATTTAATACTTATTGGTGGGTTATGCTTTAGATATTCATAGGTATACATTACATAGTTTCAATGATTTACTTAATTATGGGTATTATTAATTTATTTATTCTCAGGGTAATATTTAAACTTTCTTTTTTAAGTTTTTGTCAAAGTTTCAAATTTTCAGAATTTGATAAAGATATTTTGGACTTAGCTTTAAATCTTTTAAAGTTACACAGATTTTAGTTTAACCTTTGAGTATTGAACAGTAGCAAAAGTATTGCCAAAGTTGAGGTTGGGTTGGGTTAGGTTTAAAATTCCGTTATTTTCCTTGAACATATATTTTTGGCACAGTCTCCGAATTTCGTTGTAATTTACGCGTCATTAAATGATTATTTATTTATCTATGTGGAAGATAAAGTTTATTAATGTTTCTTTATTCTATTGTTGGGTTTATTTTACATTCTACTATATTTATGGAAGTTAACGCAGAATAGAGGGATTTGTGGGGAGACGAGAACTGAATATTTATTGAAAATTATCTTTAATGCTTAATATACCCGCAAGATGGCAATGAGAAACAATAATAAAAGCTTTCTTCTCTGCACCTCAGACTTAAGTCCCCCTGGTGTCAACTATTTCAACTATTTTGATATAAATATTTTGAAATTTTAAACCAAAGAATGTTATGAAAATTTTGCGGTTCGTATGAAATTTTATTTACCGAATACGGACACTTATTTGTTTTTTCTTTTAGGTATGTTTGCTTCAATCTCAAGAAAATGGTTTAAGCTTCTTCTTCACGGAAAATATAAAAATAAAATTATGAAATTCTCTCTTTCGGCAATTTAAGTTCTTTGAACTTTCAACTCTAAAGATTAAAAGTTTTCCTTTGCGAGCTTGAAAACATTACTCAGACTAATTTAAAGTAAACTGAGCTCTGTATTGAACCCAAATTAAGATGTGTTCTCGTAAATTTTTGCTCAAAAAATTAGGTTTTAGATTTTTCTCAGATTTTTTTGGGTTTAAATCTTTAAAAAAGTTTCTTTTACCCAAAAATGATTTGGTATTGCCATTTTTTAATCAAGGTGTCTTTTTTGTGTTATATATTTTTTGTTTATATCTTCAGTTCTGAAAGGAACCTTTAAAAAAATATATTTATAATATTTAAACTTTACCTAAAAATCTTAGTTTTAAAAATCCTTAAATTTCTTTTTTTCAAAAAATAAAATAAAATTTTTAAGGAGAATGAGGGTGTTTAATCAAAAACTAACCTTTTCATGGTTAAGTACCTATTCGTTTTCATTCCTGAAGATATTTTTAAAATGAACCTGAAGACATTTTTGACATTGAACAAGGGCAAATATCTGCTTTTTATATTAAATATATTCTGCTTTAAATTGAAAAACTAAGTTTTGCAAAAGTTTTCAACTTTTTCATTGAAACGCAGATTGAAGAAAATGTTGAAGATAGGTTGGGGGAGAGGGGGGTAGGTTGAGGAAGAGGAAAAGTAGGTTGGGGGAGAGGGGGGGGGGGTGGAAGAGAGAGGGAGTGCAGAAGTCCTCAATTAGTAATCACCGCCGCCCAAACGTTTTTTGCGACATGCGCGCTCCTCAATTGGTAATCTCCACCACCTCAATTTGTAATCACCGTAAAATCTTGTTTCCTGAGATTTTAATTTAATGCATTTTTAAGAAAATTTACGACATCTTTTGGAGTTTCATGACATCTGTATTGACTTACACTAAATTTTCAATTGGTTTTCAGATTGGTTTGGTCAACAAAAAATGATTAACAAGGCATAGTTTATTTTAGCCGATTCGCTGATTTAATGACTACATTTCATGATTGGAGTTAAGATATTAAAAGGTCGGGCTGCCGTCAACTAAAAATTATCTCACCCCAGCCAAAGTAAGATCTATCTCCATTTAAAAGATGGATTTTTGTATTCGCCTACTCAAGTTCAACATCTACAACAAAACTAGTTACATGCATAGAAAGAACAACAAATTTAGAAAAATCAGTCTTATCGCGCCTACTTGTGAAAATAAAGTATTAAGTTCACAAATATTCCTAGTGCTTCATTGTTAAATGAGGAGCGCGCATGCGCAAAGGTACAATATTGTACACATTTATTACTAGCTCTTCATGGCATGGCATGGCATTTATAGATTTATTATAACCTAGATTTATAAAGAAAGCTTTACGAATATTGTACGCCATTAACAGAGGTCAATATGGTCTTATTTCTAGGAAATAAACGATTTTATTTCTGATTACAAATTAAGGTGGTGGAGATTACCAACTGAAGAGCGTGCATGCCGCAAAACACGTTTAGGTGGCGGTGATTACTAATTAAGGGTTTCTGCACTCCCCCCCCCCCTCATTGGAATTGGATTAACTTCAATATTTTTATATATTTTTATTTTCTCCTTGTTAGTATTGACAATTGGAAAATGGTATGATTTCGTCGTAATATGTGGTATATGTAATTACATCCTTTCTGGGCTAGGTTAGGGTAACTGTGCCGCTCTGTAGGCTGAAAAGGAGATTAGAATAGGCCATGGTAGGATACTGTAGAAATACATATACACTACAGATATTATACTGGGATTACAATGGACACCAGAAAGATTGCTGTCTTCCTGTTTTTCAAACTATAAATGCCGCCACTAAAGATACAATTTAATAAATTTAATAGCATGGTGTTTTGGGTTAAAATAAATTGGTAGTAAGCGACAACCCTTCCATTTTTTTGAATAAAAGTTCTAGAAAAGAACAGTCACACAGTTGTTGAGAGCCAACTTTAGATAAGACAAAAAGTGTTGATTTGTTCAAATTTCAATATTTTTCTTTTTCTTGATTCTTGACATCTTTCTTTTTCAAGTTGAAATATTACTTTTTTCGTGTTGAAAGAACTTGTCTGAAACATATAAATTTTATTAAGATCTTGAAAATTTCATTTCAGAAGATCTAAGATTATTTCTATGAATAAGTTTAAATCTTACTCTGTTCATATCAATTAATTTATCACCAGAAAACTTCCTTTTTAAACTTCTCAGAAAAAGAAAAAAATTTGTTAACAATAATTTTTTGTTTGCTTTTTATTTTTTTTCGAACTTGAATCCTTATCAGTTAAAGCAGTAATTTAACCAACTGAATTCAGTTGAAAGTTGATAAGCAGTTAGTTGATGTAACTTGTTTCATTTAAACTTTTAAGTTCCTTTGTGGAAAAGGCAGTTAAATAGAACATTAAATCTGAATACACCAGCTGGTGTGTGAGTGGTTTAAAATGGAGAATAGTTGGATGGATAAGGTTCTAAACTTCCTCTGTTGTAGGCAAGGTAAGAAGTAATTTGTCCCAACTATTTTTCAATCTATCAAGGATA